TCTTTATATTTTATATTATCTATTATTTTATATTGCAGTATTGTAATTATTTTTATGTGAATTTGGGGGGGTTATAAAATGAATCATCTGCATTTCCATTATTTCTTATGGGGAAATTAGCTTTGATATGCAAGTGTTTTGGATTACAAGCATGTTTCTGGAACAAATTATGCTCACAAACCAGGGTTTTACTGTATTTATGTATACACATTAAGTGGTTGAATACTAGGTGTTTTTTTTTTTTTTTTGGCAATGAAGCTGATATTGAATATAAAAAAATCCTTCAGCACACATACCTATTTTGTTTCTGCAAACCACGGTCAGATTTTGGAAGTGTTTTGATTTTCTGAAGAACTACTTTGTAAGTCAGTCCCAACTAATAGTATTGGATTTCCTTTTCTTTATTTTGTAAAGAGTACCCTAAATTTTGGTTCTATCTTGTTTTAAATGTGTTAGAAATTTGTTAGATAAGCAGGTAAAACACAGAGATTTGAAGTTTTAGAAATTTTAATTATGAAAAATAAAGCTTGCAAATAGGAAGGCACTAGAATCTACAAATAGAAGGTAAGACCTGAGCAAATCAAGTGGTGAATCAAACACGGGCAGTACACGGGATTTAATTTTGAAATACTTTTAGTTACACTTTGAATATCTGAGCCCGTGGAAAGACTCTTTTGATGGAACTACCGTTTATATATCTTGTTTAAATAAATAAATAAATAAATATATATATATATCCAGAATTCATAATATGCTGAATTTTAGAAGGCTGTGATTTCAAGGTATCTAAATTTGTTTAAACAGAATTTATTTAATGAACTTTGCTTGTGTAATTTTTTCCAAGAAAGATATTAACGTAGAAAAAGTTTCTGAAAATGCTTTGGCCTGAATATTTATGTATTTCAATATAAAAGTAGGGAAAATAAAAATGTAATCCTTTTGGAAGAATTTTCCTGTACTTGTAGATACTTGAATACTGAAGAGATTTTTCCCAATTAAAAATATTACGGTCTACACAGAAGAGTTCAATGAAAGTGTCACCAACTTCAATTTTATTAACAAAGAAATACACCTTTGATTGAAACCTTTCATTAAAACTTTAAAATAACATAATGAAATGATACATCCTTCATTATTTGTGTGCATGTGTGTGTGTGTGTGTGTGTGTGTGTGTGTGTGTGTGTGTGTGTGTTTGAAGGCAAGGACTCATTTTGTAGTTTAGGCTGACTTTGAACTCATCAGGCAGGACTTCAACTCACAATGATCCTCCTGCCTCAGCCTCCTGACTGCTGGGATTACAGACATGTGTCCCTGTCCTTCATTATACAATCCATCATACAATCAATACACCCTTCATTATACAATCAATAAACATTGTACATATACTGTGGGAGTGTTTCTCTGTGTAGAGTTTTCTCTGTGTACATATATTCCTGGGAGTGTTTCTCTTGCCCAGCATGCATAAGACTGGAAAGCAAAAAGGTATGGAAATGCTGACCCAAATCAGTAGACATCAACTATATCTGGAAAAAATACTTGTAAATATATTGTAGGAAAAGTGTTAACTATAATTTACAAAGAGTTCCTATAAATTGCTAAGACAGTATAAACTCTCCTAAAGCAACATGGAAAAGATGAGTACATGATTCAAAGAGTTAAAATAGCTGCAGTGTGTGTGTGTACACTGCATATATGCATATGATTAAATGAGCACGGGAAAACTGTTGGGAAGATAACATGGACTGTTAACTTTGGTATAGGGATAGAGAGGCTGATGGAAGTAAAAAATTACAGCACTTATCACAGACGACTGACATATGAGGAGGTAGAACGTTTCATGAGTGCCACAGGTGAGGAATAAGAACAAGGACTGTGTGTTTGATAAGAGGGGGTCTTGGACAGTGAATTATTTTCTTCACTACTGGCCTTATGAGGTCATTACATGCAATAGTGACATAGTGACTTTCATGAGATGGCTAGAGCTCTGGTGACTACTCATCATAGCAGTTCAAAGAAGATATTGTGACGCCCTTGGGAAAAAACTCTTTGTAAAGACCAGGCTCCATGCATGCAGTGATTGCTTATTTAAAAGGAGCATCATGTTACTACTCTGAATAGACTCATCTCCCGGGGAATAAAAAGGATCTACATACAGAGCGCTGATCTGTGAGAAGCCCCTCTCTTGGAGGTCCATTTGTTAGAGGCATGAACATCATTAACCCGAGAGCCTCTGCTTGTTGCTATGCCTAGGAGTCCCTGAGGTGCTCTCCGTGAGGCTTACGCAGTGTTGTGTGCTGTGGGGAGGTGTGCTATAACAACATGAAGCCTTCTGAGACATCCTCTCTAGAGGCTCTCGAGGACCTCAGGTGACCAGTGGTAAATACGGAAGATAAAGAGACTGACACCCCAGGGGATTTCTCTTTTGTTAAAAATATAAGATAGGCCCTTTTTCTTCTCAAAGGACTTGCAGTGTTCTCTGGTCCTCTCCATAGTCTCCCTCCAGCCCCAACATCTGCCTTTAGTTCTGATTCTTAGATTTGTTGTATGGTGGGAGAGCCATCAATTCAGAGAAAAACACTGTTTTGGGAAGCTGGAAAAAAGACTTGTTGATGGTAATATTTATTAGCTACATCTGGCTTCTGGTATCATTCAAGACTTGGTGATTCACTGTTGTAGGAAGAGAAAGGTAAGAGGGGGAGAAGGGAAAAAAAAGGGGTATCAGGCATCTACATCAAAGAAAATTTAAAGTTTTTAGGACTTTCAAATGAAAACTAACATCTTCATATTCTTCTCTATGAGTAATTTGATACTTGTAGGTCTTAATTCCAAGAACAAAATTCCCCACCATTAGGGGAATAATATGTATTTTGATTTTTAAAAATATTTCTTTTGTTGCTGAGGCCATGAAAAGAAAAATATTTCTTTTGTTGCCCAGGCTTTCACATGCTTTGTATCACTGAGCTACATCCCCAGCCTTATTTTTCAGTTTAGCGGAGTCTTTTGTATCAATGTTGGGCGGTGATGCATAGTCCTGAGTGGCTCATTTCCTGTGAACCAGTGTGCACCCTGGCTGGGATGACAACTGTGGGAACACTGGGGATTTTTAAAAATTATTTTATTCGGGAATTTGGAGGAGATGTTCATGTTAACAGAAGGATCGATACCAATTTTGCAAACATAAGGAATCTTAAGATGATTTCACCTGACTTTCTGCTGGAGAATCTTTTTTTTGTCTTTTTGAGACAGGGTCTTGCTACGAGGTTCAGGCTGGCCTTGGGCTCACTTTGTAGCCCAAGCTGGTCTCCAACTTGCCACAATCTGCCTGCCTCAGCCTCCCAAGTGCTGGGATTACAGGAGAACGCCACCACGTCTGGCTTGGAGAATCTTAATTTAGGACTACTGCAGTATCATTTTTGTCTAGAGTTGGGTACTGAGCTCCATTTTTTCACTGCCCTTAAACCCAGCTTGTCAGTGGTATTCTGAAGGATGTTAGAGCCTTGGATACCTGATTCCTGTGGGATCTTGCTGTCTTGTTCAGCTCTGCATCCTGAGCAGGTTCCTGTGTGGTGTGATGGTAGTGTGAGATTACCAAGTCAGGTTTTTCATAAGGCCCTATTGGTTACAACTTGCTCTGTGAGGTGTTGAGCTGGCTCTGTATGAAACAATTAAATGACACATCTCCAGCCTTGCTGAGCTTATGTTATCAAGGTAGATTATGACTTCTGGGTCATGTTTGGCTTCCCATGTAGTTTGATGTCTTCTTTGTCTGCCATACCACCCAAGACTGTTTCTGGCATCATATCTATCATCATATTTCAACAGTTTTTATTTGGTATTGTGTTTTAAGCTTAGTCTCTATGCATTGTACTAAGTACATTTTGAAAGAATCTCATTAGATTCAGTGGAAAAAGTGCAAATGAAATTGTAGCTGTTTGGAAAGACCAAACTGTATATGTAAGGTGCCATGACCTTTGCCTGAGATTGTCCCAGGGTGAAAGAATCACATCTATTGCAGAAACTGGTTTCCCAATTCTTATATATACTTATATTTCTTCTGAATGAACCATTAAAGATTTTTTTGTGTGTGCAAGATGTAACTGTGATTCAAGTTTAAGGGATATATAACTAATTTACATACCAAGGTAGAAGGATGATTTCAAATATTAATCTAGAGTTTTCTTATAGATTAATTTTAGAGCACTTTCTTTTTAGAAATCTTTTATTAGCACATACGACTTATACACATCCATGGGGTCCATGTGATATTCCATATATGCATGCAGTATACACTGATCAAATCTATCCATCCTCCAGACTCTAGTAATCACTTTTACTTTCAGATAAACACTGTTCAGCTTGTATCTCTGAGGGAGAACATGTAGAACTTGTCTTTCTGTGTCTAGCATGTTTCACTTACTGTTCCCCCAGCTCCATGCATTTTCCTGCACTTCCATTCACAATGGTAGCGGCTGGTTTTCTTATCCTGCTGATTAGAGATGATAACTTAATTGCATGGTAATTTAAAAAGTGGACTCTGTTGAACTTTGGTTTAAGGCTCAGAAGATTTACATCAACACTAATAAGTAAACTAACCTCTAAGAAAATATTTTATCTTTCCTGTTTCCTGGCGTCAACAATGGTTACTATAACAACAGAATTCCTTGAGATAGGTCATCTCAATCTAAGCCACTACTGAATCTGAAACACACCTCTTTTAGTGGGGTTCCTAACTGGCACCTGATTAGGTCCTTCACCTGTACTTTTCACATGTGACACCTATTTAGGTCTTGTTCCAGCTCTGTTCTGGTTTGGGCCAACCACTAAAATCTCACAGACATCAGTTTCCTCATCTTTAAAATTAGATGTTTGGCTTAAAATAGATCAGAGTACTTTGGGAACCTAAATAGTGTTCTTTGATTATATTACCTAGTCCCTGCATTTTCTTACTGTCTCTCTCCTTCTATCTCTCCTGTCCTCTCGTTCTTCTTCCTCCTCACTAGCGGGCTGGCCCTCCCACTTCTCCTGGCATCTCACACTGTCCTTCAGCCCTGGGCTTTGACCCAGAGGTCTGCTTGCATACGAACTGAGAAGCGGACAGCTTGTGTTTGGAGCAGTGCCTACGCTGCGCGCACCGGTCCAGCTCTACAAAGCGCCTGTGAGTCTTTTCCTTTTAACAAGCACATTCCTGCCAGTGACTGCGAGAGAGTGGAGGGAGGCTGCTGAACCTTCCAGTGCCCAAAGATTTCTGTGTCAGAAGAAGGACTTTGTAAGATAACAATGTTCAACAGATTTGGGCTTGTGATTGTGACCTGAGGGCGGTATGCAGAGCTGCCGGCTATGTCATCCATCAAAAGCATCACACAAATTTAGCGTGCGAAGTTTTGGAGTGAGGAAGGCAGGTCACCGTGCCCTACAGCTTCTGGATTATCTCGCTGCACTTTTGTTAACCAACGATAGGACCAATGAAGTTATCATGTGTTTCTCGCATAATTTGTTGACAAAGCAGTCTAGTGAATTTACGGTTTCCTAAAGACCAGTGTCTGTATTTCATGAGGCAAATGCACTATTCTTGGCTTGGTTTGCCTTTATTCTAATTTTATCATTAGGCAGAAAGGACAAATCAGGTACAAATCAGCTGTTTAGGACGAGACGTGCCTGAGAAGTGTTTCTGTGCACCGTTTTCTGAGGAGGTGGGAAGGCAGGTCTGGGTTGCTGGAGATTAAAAGGATTTCAAGAGCTGGAAATGAGGGAGAAGCCAGAGGCCTCTGCCAGTGCTGACGGCCGCGGGGTGCTTGCACTCTGCGGCTCCCCGGATGAGGGCAGCGGCCGCTGTCCGACGCCCCGCTCTCCGGCTCCGGATTTCCGCGGCAGCGCCCCAGGGGAGCCGGCTCACGGTGCAGCGGCTGCAGGGCCAGGTCCCCAGGCGCACCCCCGGCGCACCCCGGCGCGGTTCGGACAGGGTTAAGGCTACCACCTGCAGTCGAAGTGCGACCCAGATGGGAAGTAGGAAGTGTGGCGCCCGAGCTTCCTGTATAAATAAACGCGCGGCTTCCAGAGCTGCGGCGGCAGCTGCGGATGAGCTGCGCCCCACGCTCCCAGCGCGCGGTTCCGGGGCGTCGCGGTTGCCGGGCGAGGCGGGGAGGTGGCGGGGGCTCCTCCCCTTCCCGGCCGGCGGGGAGGTCCGGGCGCTCCGGGGCTGGTGCAGTCCTGCAAAGTGGAGAGCTGTCAGCCGCAGAGCGCGGAGGGCGAGGGCGGAGAATGAGAGAGCGCCTGCCCCGCGGGGTGCGAGCTGCTCGGGCTGGCGGTGCGCGCCAGGCAGGCTCCGGAGAAGCCCAGCAACCCCGCTCTCCAGCCAGGTAGGTTCGGCGGGCTTCCACCAGCTGCGGGCGGTGCAAGTCAGGGATGGTGCTGGTGTTGAGAGCCAGGGCTTTATTTTCTGCTTCCAGGGCTTAAGCCAGACAGAACCGCATGCATTCTAAATTGCTTGAACACCTGTTAACATTTTAAAATAGATACCTTTGTAAAGGTAAACAAATTAGTTTCGTGTCTAATAAAATGGTCTCTGCAGAATGTATTATAACCCTGAAGACGAGACCGAAAGTTAGCATAATCTTGGGTGTCTGTCTACCTTGTGTCGTTTGGAAATGCACAGCAAGATGTTGACACACATGGCTATGAATAAGATGTTACGGTAACCCCAGAATCCTTCCTGACCGAGTGTCACGCTGATTATTTTATCAGGTAATACTGATAAAATAGAGTGAAACTCTGATCCCGTTCTCCAGTTTGCGTTAAAATGAAACTGATTCCTGTTTCAACAGGGGAAAGGTATTTTTTGCATGCTCCTTTCAGGGTACCTTTTGCTTTCCCCATTAATTCCAGTAATGCTGTTGTAAATGTGCCCCTGATGTGCTAGCATTCAGAGTTCTCAGAATGAATTCCCTCTCCTAGCTGGTGTTCTCTTTCTTTAGGTATCTGTTGTAGACTGTCAGTTTCTGACTGCTTGCTGCTCCGGATCTCTCACCAGAACCTGAGCTTCCTAATAGAAGTATCAGTGTTCTTCTACTTGGGTACTTCTGGATGTTTATGTGAACGTTGAGAAGCATGAATTAGAGGGCAACATAGTTAACACCTTAAACAGTGGATAAGGGGCGTCTGTGCCCAGAAACAAAATAAATGAACTTCGGGGATGACTCAGTTTTTAGGGTGTGTATAAGAGGCAAAAGGAAGCCAGCCAGTCCTGAGTTGCTGGCTACTGAAAGTATCTGCCGCAGCTTTCACTGAGACAAACCTCTTGGTCTGTAGTCCTTGTCCTATCTTATTCTTCTGTGGCTCCCTCTTCTTTACTCCTCCTCCTCCTCCTGTTTGTCTGAGACAGGGTCGCACTATGCAGTTCAGGCTGGCTTTGAGCCCACTTGGTAGCCCAGGCTGGTCTCAAGCTCCCAATGATCCTCCTGCCTCAGCCTCTTGAGTGCTGGGATTACAGGTGTGTGCCGCCAAGAGTCTGGACTATCCTTTCTTCCAAACCTTGGGCTTTTCATGGGCTACAGTCCTTTAAGTACTATGTCTTTCTTTCTTTTTGTACCCCTGATACTGAGATTGAACCCAGGGCCTTCACACTGAGCTACATCCCAGCTCCCTCTTATTATTTATTTTGAGAAAGAGTCTTAAGTTCCCAAATTGTCCAGATTGGACTTGAATTTGTGATTCTCCGTTTCAGCCTCCCAGAGTGCTAGAATTATAGGAGTGGAGCACCATGCCTGGCCTATTAAGTGTTTTTAAAACTACCTTGAGATGAGGGAAAGAAAAAGAAATAAATCTGTAGCCAACTCAGGACACTAATTATATTAGATAATAGATAATGGTATTACGAAATCCAAAAGTATGATTTTACTCCTGCATTTTCATATCTTTGGCTGGCATTTTATTCTTTGTGGGAGATCAACTTAGAAAAATGGGAAAAAAAATCCCTGTTTCAAAAGTAGCATTTAACTAACTGAATGTTTTGAAGGGTTAAAACATACAAGGTGGACCTGTATAGAATGTGAACAGGGTGTTGAGGGGCAGAATTGGGTTGCTTGGCTTTGTATTTAAAATCAGTAGAAAAGGTAAATTCAACCAGAGACCCCCCAAACCTATCACCCTAGATAACTTACTCTTGCACTGCTGTGCTGGAAGGAAGGCTCGAGGGTGGTCAAACACCATCCATTTACCCAGCGTTTTACAAATATTTACAGTCATCTGTGCCAAATATCTTTCTGCTGAGCCCTGAAAAACATTCTGAGCATTCAAAAGCCTCATTCTCATGAATGGTTTCAGTTCAGGGGCGACGTAAAGGCATCCAGGTTTCTAAAGTAGGTCAGTTTAAGACATGTCTTTTAAAAATAATCAGTTTTTGGATCTCAAATTATGAACTAGGTTTTGCAGCCAAACTCTGCAGCAAAGAGAAAAATATGCTCTCTCTAGAAAGAAAAAAAGTTTATTTTATCTGCCTAGTATGACTGGCTTCCTGGAAAATACCTTTCTCTTCAAAGGTGTGAATACTTTTAATCTGAAAGTACCTTTAGAATTCCCTTTGGAAAAAGTTGTTACAACATTTTAGATGTTTAGATACATCTGTATGAATGCTGGAATCATTTCTCTAAAGTGTTTCTGCTAATTGTGGCTTCTGGTTCTCCTGGCCTTGACCTGACAGTACTCTCTTGTTGAGTGAGGTTCATAGTGTTTGGTATCTCCAGTTTGAGGTACAGGTCAGGAATCATGCTGGACCCAGATGTTGGTGGATGAACAAAGTCCAGACAGTTTTGGGACTAAACCTACTTTGTGCAACTGATTATTTTGGATGTGGGATGGGGGCCAAGCTGCCACACAAGTCATGCATTCCACGTTAGGCAGTAGGTATCTGCAGCAATGGCTCATGAGTACTGACACATTTCTTTCAGGGATTTCTGCCTCAGTGTAAAGAAGCTTCTTTGTTATACCAAATTATCAATATTTGCAGCTTTTTGAATTGTTGAGAGTGAATACTGGTGAGCACGACAAAGCCTTTAATATTTTCTCTGTCCCATGTGCAGTGAGGATGATTATTCATTATACCTTTGGGTGATTCCTGTTTCCCAGGTGCTATGGTAGATGCTTAGGATATAAAGATGTGTAAGACTTGGCCTCTGTCCTGAAGAAGTCTTAGAAACAACTTGAACTAAGGTGGCAGATCTTAATTCTTATTTATTTTTACCAGATTATGAGAGTTCTTTTGATATTCTTTGATGTTTTCATCTTGATCATGTGTTCTGTGTGTGTGTGTGTGTGTGTGTAGTGTTTCTTTGATATCACTTGATTCTTAAGTACCCTGCAAAGGTATAACAGCATTTAAGTTAATTTGTTGTAAATGTTTTCACTTTAATCTATTTTTTTCGTTTTCAGGGCTAACATTTTATTTTTATTAATTTTGGTATTTGATAGTTGCTTGGTCTGTGAGTACTTCTCAATCCAGCGCATCATACTGAATGGTATTAGAAATGGAAAACTATATATTGCAGACAGTAAAAGTGACCAATGCTTTTGCAGCATGGAGTGAGGAATTTCTTAACAACAATTGCATCTGTTTTCTTGGTTTGAAAGTACAACCTAAGTGAAATACACTTCTCTTGTTCATAGTTGGAGAATCTTTTGCTCACATGGCTTGTATTAGCTCTTAAAAGCATATTTTGAAAGCTATATCTCCCTGTTTTCTAGTTCCTCTGAGGTCAGGAGCTGAAGCCCTATCCCTTAGTCAGCTTGCTCTTTGTTTTTCTTGGGAAGATGAGGCAAGATAATGCATTTCTCTCTTTGATGGACTTGTGGCTGAAACTATAAACTCATAAATTCTCGTTTATGAAATCATCTATTGACAACCTCCTCAACTGGTTTCTCTTTTATAAGCAGGGGCTAAGTTGAATCACCTTTATTGTGGAATTTGATTCTTTGTAGGTTGGCTCTGTTTTCTGCATTATAGAGTCCTGTTATAAGAAACTTATTTGGTCAAAATGTACAAAAACACACATCCTTAACCTTGCTCAGTGTGGGAGGCAGGAGAATCCTCTTCTATGCTGGTTTTAAATTTGATTCTAATGAAAAGTTCTATATGAGGCTTTTAACATTTGCAGGAGACGTCAT